TATTTAACAGCTAAATGCATTGTTTTAAAAGTTAGCAAACTAGAAACAAATACAGCCATCTACATGACTACCATCCTCCTCCTGGTCATGTTGTTCTCCAGACGTAGGTTCCAGTGAGGATGAGGATGATGCACCAGCAGAAAATAAATGTCAGTTTTTGACACTTGGCTGAATTTGCTTGTAGATGATTTTCTCAATCTTTTCTCCCCCACCCCGTCCGATTCTTCTMCTTCTTCCTCCTCTTCTTTTTCAAACTTTTAATCTTCTTCGGTCTTTGTGGTTGGTAAACAATGAATTGGCGTATTATCGCCATCTACTGGTATTGAACGCAACTACCCCCCCGTGCCGGTGGGAAAAGTCCTGGTACTCCCAATTGCCAGTCCGCCCCTGGCTGGAGTTTAAAAGTTTACAGAAAATGGTATCTAAATAGTATGCATTATCTATACAGTGGGGAGAACAAGTATTTGATACACTGTTGATTTTTCAGGTTTTCCCACTTGCAAAGCTTGTAGAAGACTATAATTAGGATTAATCAAGAAACAGATTTATTACAGAGGGAATGTTAAAGATGACGTAAAACAACAACTTTGTAGTTTAAAAATAATGAACCGCAGGATAGCTAATATTAATTAATTCAGTTTGCTTTGTTTGATACAAGGCAGATATCCATCATACAACAAATTTGTCGCGTTCCACCTAAGCCGAGCTGAGATCTGCTCCATGCCTCTTTTGGTTTTGTCCTGCTGGGTTCATTTCTGAATGCGTACATGTGAGCAGGAACTGGCTGGCTTCTCCTYTGATTTATGAATGACCCGAGGGAGTTTAAAGCCGGACTGTTCTGTGCTGCGATTTTGTGGAACTGTCTCATGAAAGTGATGTATTTCTGCAAATGACTGTAGGACCACTGGGAGGAGCCAGAGGAGCTTTATTTTGTCAAAGATTACCTGTGTCTAGGGATGCACCGATACCAGATTTTTGAAAACCGAGTACAAGTACTTACATTAAAGTACTTACCGATACCAAGTACCGATGCAAGTACTAATAAATATCCTTAAAAATCCTTATAGTTAACTTAAACTGTTTGTTTTCATTAGGCACTTCAAACATAAACAAAGTACATTACTATTGGTTTAAAACCATTTTACTGTCATATAACCATACTATGACAGCATGTACAAAAAATAAATAAACCTAATGCACCTAAAAGAGACTTCCAGTTGATTTATTTTTTATTCCATCTTCATCGTAGATGTAAAAATTTTAATGATCGGCTCAAGTTATCTAAAATGTGTTGCAGGGCCCTCACTGAATATTAGAGCATTGTAC